GCCCCGGCCCGTATCGGGGGGATCCGGTAGTCGCGCGCGTCGCGGTTCGCGAAGATCATTTCCACCCGTCGATTTTCGATTTCGATTACACCGGGAGACCGGGGAGAGCGTGCTGCGCGCGTCCCTCCGGTCAGGGAGATGCGAGGCGCGAGCGCGCAACAATGGCATTCACGACGAATGCGAAATGCCAGCCGAGGCTCTTTGCAAATTGCAATTACCTCATCGATTGAAGATAGCGGATCTATTCATTTATTTGTCGCGTGTTTTGCGAGAATCTTTTGTATCGCGAGCGAGAATTTCCATTTGATCATTAAAGTTTCGTTATTAAATTCCACTTAAAATTGCATCAATTCTATTAACGTGCTGGCGTTTTATGATATTATACGAACGTTACTTTTTTTCTCAGAAAAGCCTAATCTTTTCTTGAATAAAATTTTGATTTGCTATACAAGTGTCTGTTTACGTACTTTTTCAAGAAATTAAAGAATTACTGTTAATACGCTATTATCGCTGGAACAAATAAACTTTATATAATTTAAATAAATTACGTAATTATCCAATGTGCATACAAATATTAACGGTAATGATTCCGTAAAAGTTAATATCAAAAGAAATTGGATATTAGCGAGACATGCGAGATTTGCGGAAACTCAGCCAGCGTCATTAATAAAACCAATCTGCTTCTTCGCGAGTCACTAATTATATCACGAGCCGCTAATTACTTAACATCTGGATAATAACACATTTATTTTATTAATCTCAAACCAGATTATCCAGTTTAAACAGATTACCAGGCAAACGCAAGATGTCATTTATGTAATTTAAATGTAATATTTCTTTAAAATGTGTACCAGTAGTTTCGAGACACTTACGTTTACATTCCTCTACATTCATTTGTCGGAATGTAAAGAAATACGTCGCCAGATGTAATACAACTGACATGCAATACATGCGGTCGGCATATGATAATTGCTTTCGAATATTATTTCAAATGACTTTCGACTAATAACCTAAACGCGAAATTCCGCTCAGATATTAATTCGCAACGAGAAATCGACAGTAATTAGTTGACCAGAAGGACGAAGCGATCGCGAACGAGAGAAAAAAAAAGAGGAGACCGTCGTTTGTCTGACGAGCTCTCTGATGAGCACGAAGAGGACGGAGCAGGATGATGGGATGGTGGGCAAAGAGAATAGACGCGATGCTATGCGAGAGGGAGGGATGGAGTATGCGGGCGAATCGCATTATCGGGGATATTTACGGGAATTCGCGACGGAATCGTTGCGTGTCCGGTGCCGATGCAGTCATAAACAACGAGGCCATTAATTTAGCCGCGAAGGATGCCCAATATCCTTCGGAAAGCCTCGGCGGCGATGCACCGATAGGCAGCTAACGCGCGGATAAAATAAGCTTAGGGGCGTGAAATTGGCAGTAATTTTACAAGCCATAACGATCTACTAAATCTGTAAAATAATTAAGGGCGCAGATGTTCCTCCCGGACTACCATCGTCTTCCCTCCTCTTCCTCCTCCTCCTCCTCCCTATTCCTAAATTCATCGTCCCCGCTTAGCCATCACGGATCTTTTTGTGCTAACCCTTGCCGCAGCCCTTTTAACAATTCCGCTAACATTTCAAGGACGCGAATGTAAGGACGGATGTAAGAATAATAGCTCGACCTATAAAACAAGTAATAAAAATTTGCATCCACTCACAGGAAAATGAGAATAAATATAAACGTATGAATTTTGTCTTTTGGCGCGTATAAAAAAATCCGTGAATAAAAAGAAAATTCGCCAAAGTGAAAACTGCGAAAAAGGGCGCGCGGAATTAAAATTGCGAATTACCGCGACGGACCGCGCGTGCGGCCCGGTAATAAGATAGGAATTTATACAACGCGCGGCTTTTAGTTCGGCAGCAATTTCTTACGCTTACCGCGGCAATTTATGCGCGTATTACGTTTTAAACGGCGCACGCACTTACTTGTATTTCAAATTTCGGGGCGAAAGCGGGACGTAAGTATAAGGAGCGCCGTGCTCTCAGCCGAAACGAGCAGCCATACATTAATTCTGGCTTTATTAAATTTATTGCAACGTCGTAATTCGAGGGGGCCCCCGACGCCCCCGCCCCCGGGGGGCGGCCCGCCCGCCTCTTATCAGCGCGCGAGAGGAGCGCTTCCCCTTTACGAAATCTTTACATCGGGCCAAGCAATGGCCTTGGGTTACTGTCCATGATGAGACGTTATGTACACGGCTCGGTATACGTGACACCATTACCGATATGGCCAAAGCTGATCAAAAGCGCGAAGTTACGCTCGATCGGCGTGAGCTGGAAGCGGCTGGAAAGACCACCTCGAAAGCCGGAAAGATCGATACTTTTCATTTATACGCGTTGCAATTGTCTCACAAGCATGTTTCATTTAAGGCTTTTCTACCAAAAATAAATTTTTCGCAGGAAGAAATAATATTAAAGATATTTAAAAATTAATTAGAAAAAATTATAACAAATATTACATGTACATATACATATATTTTCCACAACATGTTATGTTTATTGCATAAATATTGTGGAGAAACTTTTCTACAATTCTTGCAGTTCCTACAATTTCCATATTTTATTTCTTAAAATAAAATTTTTGATGATTAGGAAAGATTAGAATGAAATTGGTGCATTATCGGAGTAAATACAATTAATAATTAATCATTAGCATATTTTTTGATGAATAAATTAACTAAGACAAATTGTATGTGATTGACGTATGTTCTATTAAACTGAAATGTAAATAAATATTCCGTTCTTCGCTTATTTATGCTTGTGACATGTGTATCGTATTGAAAATATACCCGAATACATATAGCCTTTTCGCACCAATTTATATAATATTTAATTCTGAAATATAAATAAACCAAATGCAGACCTGAATTTATTTATTCATTTAATAAATATGCTTGAAAAGAGAGAAAAGAAAAAATAACTCAATATGTTTAAATATTAACATTAAATATTAACCATTTTTCCTATCGCATCCAATAGTACTATATGTGGATAATAATTTATTTTTATTTCATATAAAATATATAACACATAAATATTCCAATATCTCGATAAATGTAATGTGAACACTAGGAAGAAATTTAAATATAAGCTTTATATTCTAAAAAATGTCAATATTTTTTATTTGATATAGCTTTACTTATATTTACTTGATATAGTATCACTTCCTTTTTTTTGTATTTTTCACTATTCATAAGCAATAAAATTTAATCGATTATGATATATACTAAAAATTGATCAATTAATATTATTAATGTATTATATTTTTGTGGTCTTCTGCATAGTATTTTCTAAAGCATGTTTAATATTTCTAATTATTATATTTTATTCTTATATGATATATAATCTTACATAATTACTTGTTTTACTTCAGAATTAAATATTTTTAGTACTAATCTGTCCTAGCTCGTTCATTTCAATGAATCTGTGAAATGTTAGATAATGTATAATATTCCTTCACAGTTGTATTACCTCACATTTAAAATGGAGCACGATTTGGCTGATGCGCAGCAGCGGAGTTGTAAAAAGACGTTAAATCTGTAAAATAGAAATATATGCGAATTAAAGCAGAGCTCCTAAAATAAATTTATTTTCCAAAAATTATAATAAATTTTTCGTATGTCTCTTCCCAAATGAGAGAATCTAGTAACGATACAATTTTTAGAAGACGACTAATTGCATAAGTAACAAATAACAAATCAATAAGATACTCACCCATGGGTTGCTCCGCCGTTGCCCGATGCCTCCCAGGCCTCCACCTCCTCTCAGATTCCTTTGTTGCAGAACACAACACTCACGACGGCACTTTTCTACGGCACTCCCGAAGGTAATTAATCGAACGCGACGGTACTTTATCCTTACGTTGCGACGATAACGTGCGATCGCATCAAGCTGCGATCCACCCACACGATACAAACTAATGCGACACACGGAAATAGCGAAGGGAACTTGAAGAGACGCGCGGTCAAGTTCACGGTGACGCGGCCCGACGACGGACGCCGCGACGCTTGTCGTGCCGGGCGAGGAGGATATCGCGACATTTTCTACGGCACTCCCGACGATAATCAATCGAACGCGACGGCACTCCATCCTTATGTCGCGACGATAACGTGCGATCGCGCCAAGCTGTGGTCCACCCACGATACCTCGCAAACTAATGCGACACACGGAAATGGCGAAGGGTACTTGAAGGACGCGCCGCTCGTCGCGCCGGACGGAAGGAGGTTAGATTCGCCGGCAGCGCGACAGATCTCGAATTACGCGGAATTACGCGTGCCCACGACTCGCCCGTGCGCATAAGTGCTGAATTCACGCTACGCGACATGCAAACGTGGAGACGGAAGGTCAAACACGGCCACGTCTGACGAAACGCGACGCCACTCGAGACTCTACTCCGAAATCAATTCGCTCCGTACCTGCGACGCACGACTGACCGACGCGCGACAACTTCACTCCGATGCGACGTCCGATGCAAGTTCATTTCGCTGCTAACTTCGTCGCGAAAAATCGCCCCAAATTGTAAGATCAAAGCTCAATATTACACACGTGTGTCACATTATTCGAATATAATTATGTACGTATTGTGTACATATACTAATATATGCGAAATATACGTATTATATACTGTATGACCGATTGACACCGGAGGATTTACTGCCGGAAGTTAAAGTAATCGCGTGTATAATTCGTTCGCTTATCGTTCGCAGGGGGCGCTCGTGCTTGTCTCGTAAGTACTACAATGCGATTTAAGTACGCGATCGTGTCTCTGGGGGCGTAAATGGCGTAAACCGCGTAATGCGACGGTCGACACATAGAGACTGGCCACTGCCGGTCAAGCTGGCGTCGAGCCTCGCTGTGGGAAATAACAAGGTAAGAGCGCTTGCCGCTTGCAATACAACGGCGCGTCCTTGAAAACGAAAAAAATGTAAACACCGAGCGTCGAGCGTCGTGTTTACTGCTAAGTGTCGCCGCGGTCATATTTAACTCAATGTGAAATTAATATACGAATATATTCCCCCCGTTCGTTGTACTACTTTATTTAAATTCAAAGCGACACGCGATCCGAATACGTGCGTTAAATACCGGGGTTTACTTATGCGATGATCGACAAATAGCCGACGTCCCAATCGCGTTCGTCAATCGCGAGATTTGAAGTGATCGCGTAAGCTACACAGTCGCTAATGACTCGGAACGATCGCACGTTACGAACAACGTTTCCCAATACTTGGCTCGGTCGCGTCTCGAGGTGTGATACGACGAGATACACGCGGCATCTCGCTCCGCCGCTGTTGAGTCCGGCCGTTCCGCACGATAACAACAAGGTAAATGGTGTGCGTATTGTGTATGTACACAATAGTGTGGCGTACGGAGCAAACACAAGCGCCGTGCGCCGAGCGTCGTGTGAAGCTCCGCGAAATATTTAATGTAATACGAAATTAATGTAGGCCGAATGTATGTGCTATTTTTTTCTATTTCGAATTATTTTCGACGAGTGCGCTATTTAATTCAGGGACGGAGACTTCCTTATGGAGGGTATGAAGCTTTCCACATCCAGAGATCCCGTGGGTGTGGAATTCCGCATCCTGAATTCGGGGTATTTAAAAACATTTTTTTTTTAACAATTATCTAAATGAGCTAGTTCTTGCGCGATATCGAGATAAAATTAAAAGAAAAATATTTATATTTGGAAAGAAAAAATATGAAAATAAATTAAATATAGAAGTAGAAAGAAATATATATTTCGACATACAACAGAAAAAAGAAAATATTTGCGCGTTATTACCCCCTCCCCTCCCGCTTAGATGAGGTACTCCACACTCGGAAAATTCAAAAATCCCGTCCCTGATTTAATGTTTTAAAAAATTTGCTAAATTCAATGCTTATTTGAAGAATAAAATTTTCGTTTGGCTGAAAACATATATTTATATATAAAGTAATTTATTATTTCCATAATTATTCCGTTTCGCACGTGAATAATTTTAAACTTCTTATCACATTTAATTTAAATTATTAAAACTATTTAAATAATGTAATGTTTAAGTAATTTCTTTTTCTAAATCATTTTTCAAGTGTACATGAATAGTACACAATTTTTTTTCCTCGATTTAATTAAAATTCACAAGCGATTATACGAAGATTAAATGCAAGAAACAGAATGTTTCTCAGATGAATCACGATTATAAATACGATATTACGAATATCAAATTCAAAATTCATTTACATAAACCGGTTTCAATTGAAGTTCAATTGAGTTCTTTGACTATAAATATATAATAACGCAATAATATAAATACAGATTTTTCTCTAACTGTGAGTTACTTTTTTATCTGATATGTTATTTCATGTCTCTTCGTGAGAGATTAAATTTATCAGTGAAATAAAAAACTCAACGGCACTCGAGAAAAGCTTCATCTCATCCAGATGATAAAACGAAGGAGGACGGATTGCGCGCGATGCAGAAGAAGGAAGTAAAAACAGACAGTCGCTAACGACCCGCGACCACCGCGATTCTATGTTCGCGTCCGTAAAAACGCGAGAAGCCGTTCTACTTCGCGATATTAAATTCAGCGCCGCTGCCACTCTGCTCTCGCAGGTGAGCCACGAACGAACGGCGGTCTCCGCGCACGATGCAGCATCGGACCTGCACTGACGTACCATGCATGGTACAAGTGCGACCTGTTTATTGCCTCCTCGGCATATCGGTTCCGTCTCGCCGAGATCTCGACGTCGTTAAGCTCGTCCACCCGGGAAATAAAGATCTTTTACGCGAAAATGTTGCTGCGCATTCTTTGCAGATTAGCTTCGCCTCCCCTCGAACTGGATCTACGCTCGTAAAGGAATGGAGCGCGCGCGCTTCGCGTATTACGAGCAATAACTTCCGAGAATTTAAATGCGCTGTATGTATGTCAAAAGTGTTAACGACGTCGCATTATTAATAAAATTGAAAAATATGCATTCATATATCAGTATTGCTCGTGCAACGGTAGCTCGATACATATTTGAGTCACTGTTAAAAATATAGGAACAGCTTATGATCATATTTATAAATACCGCGATATTATCGATAGAAAAAAAAATTAAAAGAGGAATGCGAGGGAAAAATTTATGCTTTATCAAAATCCGATCTGCAACAACCCAATCGGCCAACCGGCTGTCTTCATCTTGTTTTCTCGCTCGGTGATCGATGTAAAAAAAGGGGAGCGAAATATAAAATCCGGAGCGCCGCGGCGCCACGCAATGCTCCGTGTATCGCTTCTTGGAAATAATTAACTGTCCGCGATAAAGTGTCTTAGGTTAATGAAACATCCTTTTGTGCGCGCGCCATGAAGGGACGCCTTCATAAGCGGGCGGCGACATCCAACGCGGCACGGCAAATGACTTATTAGCAAAGTGACTTCGGTGCCGCTTCGCGCCGCGCCGCGCTGCGCCGCGCTGCGCGCTCGCAATGGCTCGCAAAAGAGGATAACAAAATCGGCTGGTTATTAACCGCCGGTTGTCCATCTTCGGACGACGGCGCGATGACGACTACCGGCGCGGCGCGGCGGAGCGGAGCGGAGTTCTCTCGCCGATTCGTGCCTGGCATCTGGTAGCCAGTGTACACGTTCAGAGAGAAACACACTGTGTACGGTCCAGGGACGGCGGTCCCGCGCACGCAAGGCACGGCTAAAAGCAAATCGGAGAGAGAGCGCGAGTACTTAGCGGACTTAAATATCGGCCGCACGGAAGGCGTCACGTCGAGAGATTCCCGATTCCATGAGAATATCCCGTGCGATCGAAAAAAGATGACTGAAGGAGAGGTCCGAGATCGCGTATCCCGAAAATACTTATTTCAACGAAGAAACATTTCAGAAATAATTGTTTTAAAAATTATTTTTGCGTGTGTATTATATTAATTTTGTATCATTTACCGGTTACTCTTTTTTTAACGCGATTTAAAATTACTTGTTTGCGCCGAAGAAAAACCGCGTTAGAGACGCACGTGTGTTCGCACGGTTAATTAATATTCACCGCGTGGACCTCTTTTTATCGCTTTAAAACTGATCGTGTACCAAATCAATATTTTCAGAAAAATTCGTGATCGAGGACTCGCGGCGAGCTCGTCGAGGAGGCAAGCAAGAAACCGGCCCTGTGATCGAAGACGGTCGGTCGGTACCGGTCCGGAACCCATTCAGGTGGTGGATGGCGGTTTACGGTAAGGTCCCCGAGAAGATTGCTTATTAGGGAAGGCGCGGAGCTACGGAATAGAAAGGCCAGTGACAATTTGATAGATTGAGCTTTTTGTCGTCACGGCTCCGTCGTCGTTAAGGCCGGCACCGATGAAATTATTGCGTTTTTTGTCCGTCACCGGTCGAATAGCTAATAACGAGACGCATACCGTCTTATTTTGCGACTGAGCGTGTTACGCCATGAGAATTCCCCCTCGTCTTCCTTCTAATGTATCATGTTCACTGTGAGAACCTCTTAAGAACTTTTTAATTTTTAAAGATTTTTTTTTTATCGCGTATCTTATATATTTATAAATAATATTTATAAAACAAATCGCGTCGGATTTTGCACGCGAAACGCGCGAGCTATATCAAAGTAAAATAGACACGAAAACGAAGGAAAAAAAATCGTGCTCGAAGTAATCGAAGGTCGCGAGAGAAGATGCGGATGTTTTCTCATTTAACGATAGACGCACTGTACGACATTCAATAAGCATCTCGTAAAGCGCGCTCAACAAATCTTACGGACATTTTATTGGCGCATAAATTAAGGTATCCCAGAAAGAAACTTCGTGTAGCATGCGGGAGCTCTAAACGTCGAATCTGCATTTCTCTAGCGCCAGTACGCTGCGCCTCAAGTATACGTCGCGTAATGAATTCGTAGGAGATGCCATTATGCAAAAACGCCTCGTGCCGATACGGATAAGCGCACGTAGATCGAATGCGCGCTACAAAATAATGCCGTCTTGATGATGTTCTTACTGACAAAAAATTCAGTCGCTTTTTGACTGATGCGCGAATAAAGTATCCACGTAGCGTGGAGCATGAATTGCTGTTTTTACCGGACGCTAAATATGATTGTAGCCATAGGAATGTGATGCCGTTAGTGCGAGTAATATCCTCATTTTAATGATATTCATCCTTGCCGCGTGCATGTGTAATAGAAAGCGGAGGTATTAATATTGTTTTCGCACAAGCGATATTGATTTTCCTTTTTCTTTCCCGGCGAAATAAGATCCTCAATTCGCTCATGTAAACGAGCCTATAATTTCGAGTACGGCTATCGTGCTGACTGCCATTATCGCATCTGTTAAATGAAAACGCGTTTACAGGACGGGATCAAAGACACCTCGTGATAATGAAATCCATCTTAGAATGGCCCGCGGCGGATCCGATAAGTCGTTTGCGATCGCCACGCAAGGCGCTAGTTTACGCGGCGTTTTACATCGCGCGAGGCAGAGAGAGAGAGAGAGAGAGAGAGGAAAAAAGCACGTATGAAGTAATCGATGTATGCTATGTATATATACCGACGCGTGCGTGCAGTCACTGCGCTCAATTGACGTTCGCGCTAATTTTAGAGCGCGCCGCGCGCGCGGCACCCGCGAGCGAGATTAATCCCGTGGACGCCCGGTGAATTAAGGCCGATCCGTATCTTAAGGACAGAGCCGAGTTCGGCATGAAGGGCACGACGAGACTCTGCGCGAGAGTGCCAACGAGCTAATTAAGCGGCCGTGCAATTAGATTTTGCCCCGCGGTCGTCCCAGTTTAACAACCGGCACGTACGTATCCTACATGCGCGGTATACGACAAGTGAACTTGCAAAACCTACTTTGCACTTCATACATCTTACTTTGAAATTTTCGCGTCAATCGCGATTAGGTATCGTTAGAGTCGGTCGTTAATTTCAAGCTGGTTTCTCATTGCGATCGGTCAACCGTTGTCCGAGCCATGTTATTTACTACATGACTAATTGTTGCCGCTGAATAAGCGACCTTTCGCAAAGAAAATGCCTCTCAAAACGGTTCCAACTCTGATCGAGATTTCATTATACTACGAAAACTTTCGTAATTACCGTAAATCGGTTTCTTATCAATATTTATTTCATATATATTTAATGGGTATTTTCGCTATTTACTTACTGATTAATTACTGCCTTGTACAATGGCAGTAATTGATAATTGAAGATAAAAAAAATCTGCATATGATGCTTTCTCAGTGATATTTATTTAGATATCAAAAACTAATGTTATTCAATTAAAAAAGGTACTAATTGTAACTCTATAGATATCTTAGCGTGTATGTGCTATAGGAATCAATCAATATATTTTAATTAACTTTGAACTTTTCTGCTATTAACTTAAGGGACTAACAAAATTTTATTATGAAATCTATAACCATCCTAATACCTTGAAACATTTATTGGCTAGGAAAGTCTCGTAACGTATGGAAGGAATAGTAGTGAGTGGTAGCTCCATTCTCGCGATTTAACTGCATCGATATCTTGCTAAAAATATCGCGTTCGAAACCGCGCCCGTAACTCCGCCACGATAAATTCGTTACCCTCTCTCGGATAAGATACATTTTTATTCTACTTTCGGCCGTGCGCGCGTAGATAAAATGTTTTCCGAAGCGCATGATATCTCTTATATTTACCGGTTGCATTTAGACGCTCGATTTAACTGAAATGCGAGCACGCGTAATAAAGAATAACTCGCAGGCTCTTGCAGCCGGAAAGGCGAATACCGTACCGTGATAAAAGTAAGAAGAGTAAATTCTCTCTTCCACGATTAACGCGATAATTAGGATCTATCTCCGGAACGAGTCGAGGCCAATCCCGTCCATTTACAAAGTTAAATAATGGAAAAATAGACAGTTCGCGGGTAACAACACTTTGCGATACGCATAAAATACTGCGCCATTTCGCAACCGGAACGGATTCCCCTCTGCCGTAGCAGTTATGTTACCCAAATCGAGCGTGGTGGTCGAGGGTTAAGGCTCGGGTTAAGCCGCGTGCTTCGAATTTCGACGAGCAGCCGCGCGCGCACAAAGAGAGAAAAAGAGAGAAAGAGAGTATCTCTCTTGATCCTCCGAAATAAAATCACTGCGCGTTATCGCCGTTAACGATCCGGATAGAATATCGAGGATCGCGTAACCGCGCACCAGGTATATAGGTGCCTCCGCACGGTCGCAATTTGCAGTAACTGTTTCTCGGAACGGAACAATTTTTTTTTTTTACAAACGCACATTTATTAGCGCGACCGTGCGCGTCGATATGGAGCGGGCGCGGAAAATACGTAGTAACACGTTCGCAGATAATACCACGCTGCCTTACGACTCTGCCGACGAGCGAGGATACAATGAGAATAAATGGGGCAGCAGTGGCTGCAAGATAACTCATGAGAGAAATAAAAATAGGCCTGAGCGATCGTTGTTTCCGCGCGTCGTAAACCTACGAACGAGGAGAAATAAACTCCGAAATGACACTGCTCGATCTCCCGCGAGTTCGCATGTATTCCTTGTCACTCTTAAAATTGGGGGGAAGCGTATTTTATACGAAAACCTTTAAAATTATTAAAAAATCCAAAATTTTGCAAATTGTGTTAAAAGTTGATCTTTGAAAAAATATGCGTTATCAAATTGCTACTAACTTTAAGCAGAGTATTTTTTCTTAAATAAATTTAAATTCAAGCTTTATCCGCGAGTAGTTTTTTTTTTCAATATTTTTGCCAGTCGTTTGTTACATCTAATCATTTAACATCGTTAAACGTATCGCAATCGCTTCGCACGTTTCAAAGGCTAATTAATCCCCAGATAAAATTATTTTCGATACGGTACATGCGTCCAAACACATCGTGACTTATACACGCCCGTGGGCCGATACAAATTGCCTCCTCCGCCTACTCAAGTGCCGTCTTTAATCGCGGCGACCAGATCGATCATTCGGCGCGACTACTCGCGATCCCGCGCGATAATTAATATCCGGGCGTCGCGATTTACGCGACGGGCGGATAACAATCATAGGGGTAGAGGAGGAAGAGGAGAGAAGGAAGAGCCGACCAAGGCCCCCCCGGCGCAGTCATGGGGAGAGTACGCTGTCCGCGAGTTCTCGGACGCGTGCCTTTATTAAATATTGCGTTTAAATGACTCCGTAACGGTCGACGAGACGCATCGCCCGCGCTAACGAGCGCGCCACGACAGCGCTCTAACGAGGCGCTCGTCGCCCACGCCGGGGTTTTCAGGGTTTCAGACCACGCCAATAGCGCCGTCGCTGAACCGACTCCCACGGTGTAACGTCGACGTGGCACCACTTTTCCACGAAACACACGCAATACCGTTGTGACAAAACTGTAAATTGAATATCGATCGAGTGTTTCCGTGTCGGGCTCGTAACTTACACGACCGACAACGTCTGTGCCGTGTCGCTGATCGTTAAGCCCCCGTGCGCCTCCCAGCTCGGAAATGAGTTCCGGCGACCTGGGTGACTGGGTAACGCCAGGACGGAACTGTCGATGGGATAGTTTGGTGTCAATCGTGCCGTTGAGGGTAATAGTAAGACAATAGACAGTAAGTCTTGACATTTGTATATGTATATAGCAGTGCACGAAGAGAGTTTTCTTTTCAAATTTACCCTGAAAATCATGTTAATCGTAGAACATCATAGTATTTCGATAAATTTTGTGTGATTTTCCGGTTTGTTTTTTACTGTGCAGTGCAATAAATTTGTTGTAGTATATATAAAAAAATATCAGTAAAAATCACATATAAAATTCGTCGAAATACTATATTGACTCACGATTAACATGATTTTCAGGGTAAATTTTAAAATAAAATTCTCTCCGTGTGATGTATATTACATTTTAATTTGCCTAATATTACGCAAAAATATTGTCAATATTCCTTTGATCTATATGCCGCGCGTATAACATATATAAATAGACATTTAACAGAAACAAGAAATGTGTATGTTCATCATTCTTCTTCTGACATATCAACATTCGACGTCGCGGTGATAAAAGTCATCGCGATTTTAAAAGCATGCAAAAAAAGTACGAGGATCGTGGATCAACAGGGGTCAAAAGGGCGGACGTCACGTGGTATTAGTTCATGACGAAGGAGACAAAATCACGGCGTGTAAGCACGCAGATGAGTATCGTTTCGTGCTGAGCGCGTATTTCAGTTGTCTCGGTGTCACCTGTCGGCACGCCATCGCGACAAACTACTAGGTGCGCGATGGAAATTACTTGTGCTCCGTGACTGGCGACGAGCGCGATCGGATCGAGCATACACGAATGACAATCGACCTCATTCGAAGGCTGTACTCACCGTCACCGTTCGCACGCGTGATACAAATCTATCCGCAATTTTATACAAAATTGCTGGCTCATTATGCGTTATTACCCAGCTCGAGAAAACAGTCGTACTTTTTAATTAAGCGGCATCGCTTTTTGTCTGGCGGCAAAAATTCGACCCACGTAAGTATAGTCATCGTTACGCGATCGCACAAGATGCGCAAAAAAATTGGAATTAATTTTTAATCACTTATTTTGAATAACGTGACACCGACGACTATACGTACGCGAGGATACAATTGCATTTACGATTTTACGCACTCGGTGCAGTTTGTAACGGCATAAAGTTGCGGTCAAATAAATTAATAACAATCATAGTCGAGAATAATCGACGCCATTAACGATATTGTGCATTAATTAAAATCGCCAACGAGCGAATGAGTATCGCTTACCGTGCATATTATCGGCATTTAACTATTATTGAGTGATTTAATAATCGATCAGATTTTAAAATAATTGTTAATAATTCGGGCTGATTAAATATTGAGACACCATTATTGTGCTTTCCTATAAATACAATTTTTTGAAAAAAAGGACAAAATATTTTTTTGTATATTTCTTATCATTATTTTTCTCTTTTTTCAAGATTTTTAAATTTTTAGATAGACTCTGTTAACTTTATCTTATTTTTCAGCGTCACTATTTATCACTATTACAGTTTTTCATATATCTTATCAAATTAATTATAGATACTATATACATTTTTCAATTTTTTTTGTTATAAATATACAACAATATTTCTGACTTGCCACAAGTTTCCAATATTTCGGTTTCGGTCACTTGTAAGATTTCCACTGGCAAGACAACAGTCGTATAATTATTACGGTCTAGTTGGCAGAATCAAATCTCAAATAATCAAACGTGTCACTCACTGTGCATATCGTTGGCGTCTGTCCATGGACTTTGTTGGTGTTGGAAGGAGGCTCCGGCCCTTTCGGAACATCCAGATGCGTCCGAGATGGCAGAGGCGACGAAGTAGGAACGTTACTCGAATTTGGAACGTGACTCGTCGGTAGCGGCGTGCCAAGTGGAAGATCTGGGCGGAAAAACCACGTGGGCCACTGTAACGAAAAGCAGAGTCGATATTACTCGAGACATTCGCTTTTCCTGGATATTTCCGGCTAGTTCATTGATCACAAGTCAAGAATATTGTCCTATAAATGTATTAATTTTTTTCTTAGCTAATTACAAATTTTTGACTGATTTTGCTATATTTCATAAAGCAGTGGAAAAGAGTAGACATTATCTTTTATAATTTACAACTTTATGTTAAAATATCTTGATATTAAACAAGATTAATATAATAACATATCTATTTATTTTTTAAATATATTACTTATTAAGAATAATATAACTTTATATAATATGTAACTTTTATATGTATAACATATTTTTTTATTGTACGCATTTAGATATACATATATGTATACATATATATATTTCTTTAACACACTTTATCGTTTAAAGTGAGTTCTTAAAAGAGATTTCTTCGTCAATAAATTTCTTTTCACGCGGTACTTAAAGATTAATTTACGGCCAGTATTTCTTTCTCTTTTGGTCGCTTATCGCTTCCGACCGCGTGCGGCGACTCTGGATCTTTGGCACGGAAGAAATAACGATGTGATGAGACGACACAGCGATCTTATCGGAATCGTCCCATTGGCGATAAAACCAGCTGAACGTACGAACCGAAACAGATATCACTGACATCTGTCAACGTAAAATTCGTCACGCTAACGAATATTTCCTTAAAACTACGTATAATGTGATATTCTTAACTTCTTCATTTTTATTTTTTAATTTGTTTGATTTGATATTTAACTCGTAATACTCTACGTTCCAATCTATGTGCGTCAACTTAAATAAATATGCAGTCTGGTAGACTGTATCAAGATATCAAGATATTAAATCTTATTTGCCTGATAATGATCTATAATCGAATAATAAGCTCAATTATACATTAGATAATTAATAATACGTTAGATATAAGAAAAGATATTTATTTCTGGCATAGGTAGAGATATGTATGGCGATAAACATTACGGTTCAGAAACATTTCAAAGAAGCTATTATAAAAAGATCTATTCATATATTTTAAAAATTCACTGCTACGTGTGGCTAAAATAATATTTTTCTAGAAAATTACAGTTTAACAAATGAACACGTAATCTCGAATGCTATAAACATTGCAGACTGCTTAAACCGAGCTTAGAGTCGGGCACAATAGGGGGAGGTTAATAAACGAGCTCATCCATTTCATCGCTCATTACTTCGTGATGTGCACGGAACCTAAAGACCTCTCTGCTGTTTCGGTGGATAAAGGTCCCACTGTGAGCGGTGCATTGGAGTGTCGCCGCGGCTGAATATGAGCGCAGCTCCCTAAGATAGATGACATAAGCCCCTGACCCTGTAAGAAGCGCACTCGCCGAGCGCGAGGTCGTCGCGCGTGTGGTCCATTGAAAGTGTTTCTTGTGGAGGAACCGGCCCGCTAAGAGAGAAGATGCTCGCGGGGAAGAGAAAAGGAGCCTCTCGCTCACTGGCGTGCTCGCGCGGCGCGTCCCCGTTCACCGCGGTACGCGGTAAGGACTTTTTGATCGTCCTCGACGGAGCCGGTGAGGCTGCGACACGAATTCCAACCCGATTAATCGCGGCCGCGTGCGCGATTCGACCCGCCCCATAAGCTCCATAAAAACAACTCCGCTACCAGACTTTTAGTCGTAGCGCCGTTCTGCCGCGTACTTTCGAATTTTTTTCCTCACATTTTTTTATCGACAAACTATCGTGAAAATAAGTTATTTGTAAAATGTAAGACATTCTACACACAAAAAAAAGAAAAGCTTTCGCTCTCCGGTCTCTCCGTCGGTGTATCGAAATCGAATTACTCACCAATAGCGCGTGCCAATGCAGTCTTTTCTGCGTCGAACTTCCGTTTATATACCGTGGAAAATCTTACATCACGCCGTTGCGTTTTAGTTATTTTCGTGCCCGAAGGCTTAGCATCAGCACCATCAGGCACTATTGGTCACGACGCAGTGTAGAAAGTCAGTAACCGGTGGAAGGGACACGAGAGGGGGAGGAGAAAAACGATTTCAGGGTGGTCTGGCGAATGTCTCTTGTCGTTGGCTCGCGGGAGTTAACGCCAAAACCGAAATAACAAACTCCTAAAGCCCGTGAGTTAACGCGCTACTTCGCGCCGAGGTTTCGACGCTAGTGATATTTTCTGTTTACCGTAACGATAGTCCGCACAGCCGCGGAAATAGTTCGACATCGATAGACTCGACATGGACATGAATTTTAGCTCCCACCAAACTGGAGCATTCAAACTTCAAAATTAAATTATAATTCGACATTTGTGAGAATATCAATAATTACGATCTCTTTCGCTCTTCTGATGATATTTAAGCAGATGTTACTATTGTTATATATTTAAATAATTAGAAATATTAATCGTCTTTCAGACATTTTTGTTTTATTAAAACATAAAAGTTTTATTTAGCCATCTCTTAAATACAATCGATATATTTAATAAAATAATAATATAATTATTATTTTATAAAATCGATTAAAGTATTATTTAATAAAATAAAATAATAATTTGGTAATTTAATAAAAAGTCAATATTTTTACAATAAATACTTGCCATACTGAGCCAAGATTCTTCTCTAAAAAATGAAGATAAACTGCAACTTTATGGTAGAAGCAGTGACTGGTAGTGGCTCTAAACATTAGAGAGATATATTCTAACTCAGCATACGATGCAAAGTATTATCGCCATTTTTTCCGCCCTAGCATGAGAGCAACAACGGTATTCGCGCGAGGAAGCCGCGTGTAATATCGGGCGAACTATTTTTATACGAGGCACGGGATGTGCTCTCGAAAAACGCGGCATGGTATTCTCCAAATTCCACGCTGGCGAATCATCGTTCTGACCGGCCATGCGCTATAATATACATCCGCCCGAATATTCCGTTTTCAGACGAGAATATCGGATAAAAAAATTTCGTCGTTCCGGAAGTTACCATCGACGGTCGGAATAAATATAGATAAGAATACATTTTTCCTAAGAGAAACTTTATAAGCTTATAAATTTTACGTAATTAAAAAATGCAATAAGAAATCGCACAGCAGAGGTAGTCCAAGAAATTAATACATTATTTTGTGTTCTACTTTAGCTTAAGAAGATTTTTAATAGAATAAGTGTCGTTATAAATGCATTTTATAAAAAGTATCCTGTGCGCAAAGTTAAGGCTGTCAATGAAAGCGCTTATGAGGTATACGAGGATCCTGCTTGATTGCGCAGAAGCCTGAAGACGTATTTTGTACGGCGAACAAAAAAAGTCCCCGCAGTCACGAAATGTCACATGTTCGATCCGTGACAAGAAGCGTGACTTGAGTCGACTCTCTCTCTAATCGCCAAGAATTCCTCGTAAATCGAGGAAGGAACGCCCGCGTCTTACAAGAAACCGGGATTCCTTAGGCGCATTTTATCCGTGAACAATTGGTTTTTAAAAAGAATAAAATTTGTGCAACATTAAAGATAAAATATTATTAATTCAAACTTATGTTATAACAAAGTTACAGTAAAATTAAAAATAATAGGAAAAATTGAGTGACTATTATAATATCATATGATCGTGTACAATGCGCGATACAAATTTTGCGGATAATTTTGGGAATTAAAATGTCATAAATTTATTTTTAATTTCTATTGTAATTCCATTTCGCGCAATGTAAACGATATCCGATGTGACACGAAATTTTCTGCGATTACCGCCCAAAGATAATTTTCGAATGTTTTTCTTTTGTAGCGCTAAAATGAAATAGACATTGTTGTACGTGCCATAGATTTTTCTCCACCATCAAAATCACAAAACATCCGAACCCTATATCTGAAATAAGCGTAATGTATTTCTTGAGGAATTGTATTTGTCATGATCAGACGATTAAATATCAATGTAACAAGCTTTTCTATAAAAAGAAAAATTACCAATGCATACCAATTATCCTATTAATAGAATATTTATTGAATGCAGTAATTGCAGGCTCTTATTCGGTAATGCAAAAATTCGTGAATGTAGGGTCAAGCGCATTGAGAAGCTTCGCGCGGCAATTTATCAGAATTTCACGCGAGCCACACGCCGCGAGAGGATCGCTTTGCGATTTTCCACGGTTACACGAGAAGTGACATTATTCGTTGCGTTGCGTTGCGGACTCGAAATTTCCTGCAGACCCCGGAGGTTGCGTCTCGCGTAATGACGAAGTGAGGACGGGCCCGACGACGAGAGGAACGCGAGCCCGCGAACACACCGCTTCATTAACGAGCGGCCTGGAAGAAAGCCGACCGATACTGCGTGTATCTCTATGCGTGTAATATACAGGCATGTTGCGCATATATTACGTTACATGCGGCGTAATATATACGAATACACGCGCACGACCTCCCCGTGGACAATAACCGGCGACGACACGGTCGTGCGGGTAATTGCCGCCATTAGGACGTTGTACCGCAAATGACTAAATAACGAATTTATGCTTTCCTGAAATCCTCGAGTAGAGAAGACTCTCATAGAGCGAGAACGTGATCGCTATAATGAAACGTCGGCGCTTAAATTATGAGAATTAACAATTCCCGGAGTAACGATTCTAATCGCTTGTTTATATCTCGATAGAATTTCAACAGATGAGATGTGTAATGCATTTCGAAGATTGTGTGGCACTTCTTAAGAGTCTCATACTTTTACGGACATTTTAGAGAAAACGAGTAACTTCCGCCGCATCCCTCCTTCTGTTTCAACGGGTACGGTAAATCTCAATATCGAGCAGCGTTTACCCGGATGAACAGCGGTGGCGTAATGCGCGGCAGCCTGGAGGAAATCTCAGCGCTATACTCGATACTTTGAAGCGGTTTGCGCCGGGGATAAGTGAAAATTACGGTAGTCCCCTCCCCCTCTTCCCCTTGGGCGAGGGGTGTTATCCGCCGTGTTACTGGTGGGCGAATAACGTGCCGTTCTACCGTTACGACAACGCTCTCGGTCGTTTCGGACGCGCCGCATCGCGCCGC